CCTAATGCATTCCATCCGTTAACTACTCTGACACTGAAAAAGTTCTTTTTAACGTCCCTGTGGCTCATTTGGGTACCCTTGTTCGTGTACCACCAGTGTTGAACAGTTTATCCTTATCTACCCCTGTCAATTCCCCTGAGAATTTTGTTGGTTGTGATCATGTCTCCTCTTATTCTTCTGTCTTCCAGCGACGTGAGGTGCAGTTCCCTCAGCCTTTCCTCGTACTCATGCCTCTTAGTTCTGGGACTAGTCTAGTGGCATACCTTTGAACTTTCTCCAGCTTGGTCTTGTGCTTGACAAGGTACGGGCTCTATGCTGGGGCCGCATATTCCAGGATTGGTCTTACATATGTGGTATACAAGGTTCTGAATGATTACTTACACAGGTTCCTGAAGGCTGTTTTGATAGCCAGCTTCGCATGTGCTGCAGATGTAATTCTTTTTATGTGGGCTTCAGGAGACAGGATTGGTGTGATATCAACTCCTAGATCTTTCTCTCTCTGTCCGTTTCATGAAGTACTTCATCTCCTATTCTGAAAACTGTGTCTGGCCTCCTGTTTCCACCGCCTAGTTTTAGTACTTTGCATTTACTCGGGTTGAACTTTAGTAGCCATTTGTTGGACTATTCATGCAGTCTGTCTAGGTCATCTTGTAGCCTTATACTATCTTCCTCTGTTTCAATCCTCCCCATAATTTTTGCATCATCAGCAAACAGTGAAAGGAACGATTCTATTCCCTCTGGGAGATCATTTACATATATCAGAAACAGTATAGGTCCAAGGACTGACCCCTGCGGGATTCCACTCGTAACGTCACGCCAATCTGAGACCTCACCTCTCAATGACTCGTTGTCTTCTGTTGCTTAGGTACTCCCTTATCCAATGGAGTACCTTCCCTTTCACTCCAGGCTGCATCTCCAGCATTTTCACTAGCCTCTTGTATGGTACTGTGTCAAAGGCTTTCTGTCAATCCAAAAATATGCAGTCAGCCCACCCCTCTCTTTCTTGTCTTATTTTTGTTGCCTGGTCGTAGAATTCAATTAATCATGTTAGGCAGGACTTGTCATTCCTGAACCCATGTTGATGCTGTGTTACAAAGTTCTTTTGCTTCAGATGTTCCACTAGCTTTCTTCGCACAATTTTCTCCATCAGCTTGCATGGTATGCAGGTTAGGGACACTGGCCTGTAGTTCAGTGTTTCCTGTCTATCCCCTTTCTTGTATATCGGGACCACATTAGCTGCTTTCCAAAATTCTGACTGTTCCCCTGTTGCCAGTGATTTGTTATACACTCTGGAGAGTGGTAGGCACAGTTCTTGTGCTCCTTCCTTTAGTATCCAAGGGGAGATTCGATCTGGGCGTATAGCCTTTGTCACATCCAACTCTAGTAAACACTTCCTTACTTCCCCGCTGGTAATCTCAAACTCTTCTTGTGGTTCCTGGCTAACTATTCCCTCTCTTATCTCTGGAATTTCTCCTTGCTCTAAGGTGAAGATCTCCTGGAATTTCTTATTCAGTTCCTCACACACTTCCTTGTCGTTTGTAGTGAATCCTTCTGCCCCTATCCTTAATTTCATAACCTGTTCCTTTACTCTTGTTTTTCTCCTGATGTGGCTAAGCAGCTATTTAGACTGAGTCTTTGCCTTGCTTGCGATGCCTTTCTCCTATTGTCTTTCTGCCTCTCTTCTCCTCCTGATATATTCATGTGTGTGTGTGTGTGTTAGAAATAAATATACATGTAGTAGATATAATAGAGGAAAACTATATTGGCTATAAAGTCGGGGTCCAAAGCTCGATTCTGCAGACAAAAATAGAAAATATACACACACACACACACACACACACACACACACACACACACACACACACACACACACACACACACACACACACACACACACGGGGGAGACATGATCACTACCTACAAAATTCTCAGAGGAATTGACAGGGTAGATAAAGATTAACTGTTTAACACGGGTGGTACGCGAACAAGGGGACACAGGTGGAAACTGAGTACCCACATGAGCCACAGAGACATTAGAAATAACTTTTTCAGTGTCAGAGTAGTTAACAGGTGGGATGCATTAGGCAGTGATGTGGTGGAGGCTGACTATACACAGTTTCAATTATAGGAGCCGGTCGGCCGAGCGGACAACATGCTAGACTTGTGGTCCTGGGTTCGATCCCAGGCGCCAGCGAGAAGCAATGGACAGAGTTTCTTTCACCCTATGCCCCTGTAACCTAGCAGTAAAATAGGTACCTGGGTGTTAGTCAGCTGTCACGGGCTGCTTCCTGGGAGGTGGAGGCCTGGTCGAGGACCGGGCCGCGGGGACACTAAAAAGACCCGAAATCATCTCAAGATCATCTCAAGATAGATATGATAGAGCCCAGTAGGCTCAGGAATCTGTACACCAGTTGATTGACGGTTGAGAGGGGGGTCCAAAGAGCCAGAGCTCAACCCCCGCAAACACAACTAGGTGAGTACAACTAGGTGAGTACACACACACACACACACACACACACACACACACACACACACACACACACACACACACACACACACACTAGAAGGGAAGGTCCCCGGCAGTGCCCAGGATAGTACGTCTGTTCCATGTCTCCCATTCCACCCCTCTTTCCTCTCCCCTCTCATATCTGTTTCCCCTCCTCCCATCCTTCACCATCTGGCCTCCAATCTTGAACAGACTGACGTTATCATTTATATAGATAAGGAGGGGTATAACCGGCTGCACTCGGGTCTCTCTCCACCCTTTCCCCACTCTTATCCCATATTTCCCCTCGTTACCATATTTCCCCTTCCCCCTCGTCCCCATGTCCCTCCACCTCGTCCCTCCCCCCCCCCCTCCATCCTACCCTCTCTCTCCGTTTTCTCAGAAAATTTATTATTACAAAACACTGAAAAACTTTGTGGGAAAAAACACCAAATATTTTACTTCGTGAAAAATCGTGTGGGTGTCTGTAGATGCAAATAATTCTTAAAATGTTTCATTTGGGCCGACCCCCGACGCGCCTATGTCCATACCAGTCGCCCTGCACATTTAGTGAGTTTAGCCCTAAGCGTTTGGCCTTCACCTTTGAGCAGATAGACAGACAAACTGATAGATATGTTCTCTCTTATATATACTAGAGGTGGCTCCTGACGTTGCACGGGTTAGTCACTAATCTTGTCTCTTTTTTAACTAAATATAGGGTTCATTAAGGCTGTGAACTGAGGTATCTAGTGACACTGCAAGCAAGAGTTGTTATCTTACCTCAGATCATCTGAAGCATGTCCCTAGAGACACGTTTATTTCATTTGAATCATTAGGAGTAAGCTTTATTTAAATTTGTGTAACAATCATATTAGGAACAGGATGAGCCAGAAGCCTACTGTGTGCCAGAGCCTTCATGTGATCGGTTGACCTGATCTCCCGAGCATCATCCTGTTGAGCGAACAAGTTCCAGACGTGAGTCAGCCTGGGAGTGAATGATCGCTGATACAGTGATGTTCTTGAGAAAGGCAGGGAGCCGATCGGCCGAGCGGACAGCACACTGGACTTGTGATTCTGTGGTCCTGGGTTCAATCCCAGGCGCCGGCGAGAAACAATGGGCAAAGTTTCTTTCACCCTATGCCCCTGTTACCTAGCAGTAAAATAGGTACCTGGGTGTTAGTCAGCTGTCACGGGCTGCTTCCTGGGGGTGGAGGCCTGGTCGAGGACCGGGCCGCGGGGACACTAAAAAGCCCCGAAATCATCTCAAGAAGAAGAAGGCAGTTCCAGCATGAGGTTATTGATAGCTGAGAGCCTTGTGTTGTGGGTGCCATCATCTGGTTGTCCACGATATTTAGCCAGGTGCAGATCTTTGAGAACACTGTGCATCACAAAGTCCACCAACATCTCAACCTTATTGGAGCTTCTGGTGTTCGGACCACTCTATCCAGACTTGGTCAAGACTAGATATAAGACTAGACACATGGGGGGAGTTGTGTAAAACCCTGGTTTGTGCCTCGGAGAAGCTGCAGGATCCAGTAAATTCAGTAGCACTTTGTTTTCAACTCCTTTTGACCATGTCGTAGCTCAGTCGATTAAGGCAGCGTCTGGGATGCTCTCGTACGCAGGTTCGAATCCTCGTCACGGCTCTTGTGAATTTGTTCACTAGATATAAGCTTTTTCACACAGTTCTCCACTTTGTCCAAGATGCTGAAGAACAGGGGGCGGCAGACAGTCCAGCAGAGGGCTGCATACCCGGGATGGGGAGCCAATTTATGCTTCATATAAGGTGGGTAAAGTTTAAGAGAATGTCGTCAGAGAGAACCGGACGAGCCAAGAAGGCACTGAAGACTGAAGAAGACATAAACAAAGGCACTGAAGACTGGAAAAGGAAGAAACGCCAGAGAAAGGGAAACATTATCAACCAATCAAGTGAAATCATCATCAACTGGTTATTTTATCAACCTAATCAACAAACGGATTTCTACCTGCAATTCTGTTACACACAATGATAATTGTGAAAATAACAGCAATAAAAATAGTTCTGATAATATTACAAATAAAAATAGGTGTAATAATAGTACAAATAAAAATAGGTGTAATAATATTAACAAAGTCAGTATTATTGGCAAACAATAAAGCCGATATAGTAATACAAGTTTCAGCTGAGAACGGTCGTTAAAACCGTTGACCAAAAAGTAACGGTCGGCGGGAAATATGAATCTCCCGCCAGAGGGTGACACTGCTGCCAGTGTAATAAAACTGGCGCCAAGATTTATTACCGAACCAATGTTTCTTCCACTTTAATTGCTTTTTTTTTATTGGAAATATCTGGGACCAGTCATTTGTTTTTGTTTTACTTTGTTCTCTTATGTCCGTGTGTATAAAAGATGGGGAAATTAGGTATTTGTTTCACTTCTCATCTAGCTATGTATAGTTTTAGCTCTCTCACTCCTAGGTATAATATTAGTTCTCTCAGTCCAAGGGATAGTATCAGCTCTCACTTCCGCTGTAGTCTTCACATTCGAGCGGATTTTGTGGTATTTTCTCTATATTTGAGTGTGTTTGGGTGTATTTTTTCTATCTCAGAGAGTTCTGTGCTATTTTTCTCCATTTTTGAGCAGTTTTTCTCCATTTTTGAGCAGTTTTTCTCCATATTTGAGTAGTTTTTCTCCATATTTGAGCAGTTTTTCTCCATATTTGAGTAGTTTTTCTCCATATTTGAGCAGTTTTTCTCCATTTTTGAGCAGTTTTTCTCCATATTTGAGTAGTTTTCTCCATATTTCAGCAGTTTTTCTCCATTTTTGAGCAGTTTTTCTCCATTTTTGAGCAGTTTTTCTCCATATTTGAGCAGTTTTTCTCCATATTTGAGCAGTTTTTCTCCATTTTTGAGCAGTTTTTCTCCATTTTTGAGCAGTTTTTCTCCATATTTGAGCAGTTTTTCTCCATATTTAAGCAGTTTTTCTCCATATTTAAGCAGAGTTTTAGTCTATTTTCACCATATTTGTCGAAGTTTTGTACAGTATTAGTTCTCCAAGTGCAAGGTTCAGTATAACCTCTCTTAAGTCCTCGGAGAAACAGGCTGGAGAAAAGGGTAAGGTGCTCCCGTGGATAAGGGAGTACCTAAACAACAGGAAGCAGAGAGTTACTGTGAGGTGGGAGACGTCAAATTGCGTGATGTTACCTGCGGAGTCCTACAGGGTTCTATACTTGGACCCATCGTGTTTCTGATATACGTAAATGATCTTCCGGAGGATATACTCATTTCTTTCAATGTTTGTTGATGATGCTTAAATTATGAGAATAATTAAAACAGAGGAGGACAGCAAGAGACTATAAGATGATCTGAACAGACTGAAGGAATGGTGCAACAAATGGCTACTTGAGTTTAACTCAGGCAAGTGTAAAATGATGAAGATAGGTATAGAGAGCAAGAGGTCAAACACAAGGTTTAGGAGATGAAATCCTTCAGGAATCAGGAAGAGAGAAAGACCTGGGGGTTGATATCACACCAGGCCTGTCCCCTGAAGCCCACATCAAGAGGATAACATCAGCGGCGTGCAAGGCTGGCAAACATATGAGCTACCTTTAAAAACGTGTGTAAGGAATTCTTCAGAAACTTGTATACCTCATGTCAGACCCATACTGGAGTATGCAGCTTCAGCGTGGAGTCCATCCCTAGTCAAACACAAAACGAAGATAGAAAAGGTGGCTTGAGTGACAAGTCACCAGGCTAGTCCCGGAGCTGAGAGATAAAAGCTACTAGGAATTAAACCTCGCGACACTGGAAGACAGAAGAGTTATGGGGAGACATGATTACCACATATATAATTCTCAGAGGAATTGACAGGGTAAAGATGATGAACAAACCACAACTCAGAAGATGGAGAAGCGACGACGTTTCGGTCCGTCCTGGAGCATTATCAGGTTGTGCGATGGTCATAATGGTCTGAGTTGGAGTCTGGTCATCATATCTTCAGCCACGTTATTGTGACCCATCGTCGCCAGGGTAAAGATAAGCTGTCGAGCTGGGTGGTAAACAAGACGTCACAGGTGGAGACTGAGTACCCACATGAGCCACAGAGACGTTAGAAAGAACCTCTTCAGTGTCAGAGTAGTTAACAGATGGAATGCATTAGGCAGTGATGTGGTGGAGGCTGACTCCATACACAGTTTCAAGTGTAGATATGATAGAGCACAGTAGGCTCAAGAACCTGTACACCAGTTGATTGACGGTTGAGAGGCGGGACCAAAGAGCCAAAGCTCAACCCCCGACAAGCTCAACTAGGTGTTTACAACTAAATGAGTACACACACACACACACACACACACACACACACACACACACACACACACACACACACACACACATACACACACATACACACACATACACACATACACACACACACACACACACACACACACACACACACACACACACACACACACACACAGTATCCTCTGAGACCCTGTTATCCACCTCACAGGTCCTCACACACCCATGGAACAGCCTCCCCCACCAGCAGAACACTCACCAAGGAGGCGATTTGAGAAGGGACAGAAGAAAGTGAGCCTCAAAGCGATGTACACTAACATAGATGGAATTACAAATAAAGCAAATGAGCTTGGAGAACTGGTACTAGAGGAAAACCCAGACATAATAGCCCTCACAGAAACAAAGATCACGAAAACGATAACAAATGCAGTGTTCCCACAGGACTATTATGTTATGAGGAAAGAGAGGGAAGGAAGAGGTGGGGGTGGTGTAGCTCTGCTGGTAAGAAAAGGCTGGGATTTTGAGGAGATGGATATTCAGGGCTGTGAAGGTTTCAGTGACTACATAGCAGGTACTGTAACAAATGGAGGGAAAAAAATTATAGTCGCAGTCATATATAATCCACCACCAAATGACAGAAGACCTAGACAGGAATATGATAGAAACAACATGGCCACCATTAACATAATAGAAAGAGCAGCTTCTGTTGCTAGCAGGAATGGATCTGGACTACTAATTATGGGAGACTTCAACCATGGGAAGATAGATTGGAAGAACAGAGACCCGCATGGAGGACCAGAAACATGGAGAGCTAAGCTGCTGGACGTGGCAACAAGAAACTTTCTAAGCCAGCACACCAAAGAACCAACAAGAATGAGAGAAGATGAACCAGCAATGCTTGATTTGATATTTACCCTAAATGAATGGGATATAAGGGAAGTTAAGATGGAAGCGCCCTTGGGAATGAGTGACCACAGTGTATTGAACTTTGAGTACCTGGAAGAGCTAGGACTAATCTCCCCCCCAAAAAGAACTAGGAATCAAAAGGCTGGCATACCGAAAGGGGAATTATGAACAGATGAGAAGTTTCCTAAGTGAAATACCTTGGGACACAGACCTCAGAGACAAGTCTGTACAGGGTATGATGGACTATGTTACCCAAAAGTGTCAGGAGGCAGTAAACAGGTTCATCCCGGCCCAAAGGGAAAAATCCGAGAAGCAACAGAAGAATCCATGGTATAATAGGGCATGTATGGAAGCGAAGAAACTGAACAAAAAGGCGTGGAGGAACTTCCGGAATAACAGAACACCAGAAAGCAGAGAGAGATACCAGAGAACCAGGAATGAGTACGTCAGGGTGAGAAGAGAAGCAGAGAAAAATTTTGAAAATGATATAGCAAACAAAGCCAAGACCGAACCAAAGCTACTCCACAGTCACATCAGAAGGAAAACAACAATGAAAGAACAGGTATTGAAGCTTAGAACAGGCGAGGACAGGTATGCAGAGAATGACAGAGAGGTGTGTGAGGAACTCAACAAGAGGTTCCAGGAGGTCTTCACAATAGAACAGGGTGAGGTCACTGTGCTAGGAGAAAGGGAGGTAAACCAGGCGGCCTTGGAGGAGTTCGAAATTACGAGAGAGGAGGTCAAGAGACACCTGCTGGATCTGGATGTTAGAAAGGCTGTTGGTCCAGATGGGATCTCACCATGGGTACTGAAAGAGTGTGCAGAGGCACTTTGCTTGCCACTCTCCATAGTGTATAGTAAGTCACTAGAGACGGGAGACCTACCAGAAATATGGAAGACGGCGAATGTGGTCCCAATATACAAAAAGGGCGACAGACAAGAGGCACTGAACTACAGGCCAGTGTCCTTGATTTGTATACCATGCAAGGTGATGGAGAAGATCGTGAGAAAAAACCTGGTAACACATCTGGAGAGAAGGGACTTCGTGACAAATCGCCAACATGGATTCAGGGAGGGTAAATCTTGCCTTACAGGCTTGATAGAATTCTACGATCAGGTGACACAGATTAAGCAAGAAACAGAGGGCTGGGCGGACTGCATTTTCTTGGATTGTCGGAAAGCCTTTGACACAGTACCGCATAAGAGGCTGGTACATAAGCTGGAGAGACAGGCAGGTGTAGCTGGTAAGGTGCTCCAGTGGATAAGGGAGTATCTAAGCAATAGGAAGCAGAGAGTTACAGTGAGGGGTGAGACCTCCGATTGGTGTGAAGTCACCAGTGGAGTCCCACAGGGCTCTGTACTCGGTCCTATCTTGTTTCTGATATATGTAAATGATCTCCCGGAGGGTATCGATTCATTTCTCTCAATGTTTGCGGACGATGCTAAAATTATGAGAAGGATTAAAACACAAGAGGACTGTTTGAGGCTTCAAGAAGACCTAGACAAGCTGAAGGAATGGTCGAACAAATGGTTGTTAGAGTTTAACCCAACCAAATGTAATGTAATGAAGATAGGTGTAGGGAGCAGGAGGCCAGATACAAGGTATCATCTGGGAGAGGAAATTCTTCAGGAGTCAGAGAAGGAAAAAGACTTGGGGGTTGATATCACGCCAGACCTGTCTCCTGCAGCACATATCAAGCGGATAACATCAGCGGCATATGCCAGGCTGGCCAACATACGAACGGCATTCAGGAACTTGTGTAAAGAATCATTCAGAACTTTGTATACCACATATGTCAGGCCAATCCTGGAGTATGCAGCCCCAGCATGGAGTCCATATCTAGTCAAGGATAAGACTAAACTGGAAAAGGTTCAAAGGTTTGCCACCAGACTAGTACCCGAGCTGAGAGGTATGAGCTACGAGGAGAGACTACGGGAATTAAGCCTCACTTCGCTGGAAGACAGAAGAGTTAGGGGGGACATGATCACCACATTCAAGATTCTGAAGGGGATTGATAGGGTAGATAAAGACAGTCTATTTATCACAAGGGGAACACGCACAAGGGGACACAGGTGGAAACTGAGTGCCCAAATGAGCCACAGAGATATTAGAAAGAACTTTTTTAGTGTCAGAGTGGTTGACAAATGGAATGCATTAGGAAGTGATATGGTGGAGGCTGACTCCATACACAGTTTCAAGTGTAGATATGACAGAGCCCGATAGGCTCAGGAATCTGTACACCTGTTGATTGACGGTTGAGAGGCGGGACCAAAGAGCCAGAGCTCAACCCCCGCAAACACAACTAGGTGAGTACAACTAGGTGAGTACACACACACACACACACACTCACACACTTGTGTGTTGACTTGTCTTGTGACCATCGTGTTGGGTGGACGTGGGTTGGGAGCTCCTGGTTCACTAGTGGAGTGGGAGGGGTAATCAGGCAACTTCGAAGTGAAAAAGTGTGTACAAGTGAATGAAAAAACCTTGAGTTTTGGCCAGAGCCATAAGGTAGTGAAGAAAAACAGTTTAAATAGCGTAATTCAAAATAGTTGAGGAAGTATTGTGGCAGTGTGGAGCAGACCTCACCGACCTCTGACCGCGTGACCTCACCCCGGCAGCAACCTTCTACCACCACGTGGGACGACGCTTGGAGATTCACTCACTTATTGTGTTAGCAGGACGGTAAGATACTTGGAACCCCAGTGGGTAAGGTTGCATTATAGCAATGACTAGGTCAGGAAGGGTGTCTAGGTCCAACAGTATTATGATTGAGGAAGAAGATAGGTTTGTGGAGAAGATGATTGGGAAATTTGTAGAGAAGAGGGATGTTTGGATAGGTGATCTAATCCAGGGGATTAAAAGTGAAGTCTTTAATAAGATACAGGGCGAGGTTCAAAGACTCAAACAAGAGTTTATGGATTATATTCAAGAGGAAATCAGGAAGAGCAGGGTAGAATGGCAAGGAGAAATATCTAGGCTTACTAATGAATTTGGCAGGAATAAGGGAAGCTTGGCAGGGGAAGGGGGAGTAGTAGTAGGTGGAGTAGCGGGTGTAGGAGGGGTGGGGGTCAGCCAGGGAGAGGGCCACCAGCATGACCAT